AAAACTACTACAGATAGTGTGGATGCAAAGGAGTGATCAGTAGTGGGTGGAGTGTGTTTTTGCAAAGTAATGGCATACTTTCCAACTAGAAAGAGCTGGTGTTGCAGTGTTTTGTAACCACATGAAGAACCACCATAATATAAGTGAAACATGGTTTACAGCCAAGAGAGATCACTTTACATTCAGTGGACTTTGTGAACTATATCTTACAAGTATACATTTTAAAAGGTACAAACTAGACAAAAACTGTTAAGAGAAAGCAGCAACATCAGGGGACTCAGATGCCAGGATATTAAGTACTGTTATTCAGTTGCAGTAATGAAGAAGTCAGGTTAGTGGAATACTAGCAAAGGACAAACTAAGGTCAGTGGAGTAGAATCTATGTCCACAACCAAACCAAAACATCTATAGTCAACTGGCTTTTATTGATTCCCTAGGAAACACAATGGAAAGTTGTCTTTTGAATAAAGTACACAATGCCAATGCATATCATGATGGAAGGGTACCTAATAGATACCAGTCTTTAATTCATTTTGGGGAAAAGTAACTTGAACTTATACTCAAACCTTACTCTTCCATACACCTACTCTTCCCCACCTCATATCTCTCCATACTCCCCTCAGTAATTCTGAAATTAACTCCTGGATCTTTCATTTTTTAAAAGAAACACTTTGGCCGGATCTATTTTAATCCACTAGACATGCAGGAAATCTAGCCATACTATGTGCATTTATGATGCTAATTTTCACACTGCCATGATAGCTGGTTATTTTCTACTTGATTAGATTTTTCCCCATCTTACCTGCCCTTTGTATTATTTTTCTTGCTGCCATATTTTTAAAAAACAGAGGGAATGTATTCCAGTTAACAAATTCCCTTTTTTTAAATCAGTATCAATATGGTGCATCCCAACAGATAATAAATACTAAAACTGTTTTTCAAATGCTACTGACTTTAAACCATCCCTGACAAACATTTCAATGTTCAAAAAACCACAAAAGGCTGGAGCAATAAAATAAATTAATATTAACATTTTACCTGTTTTTGTTTAATCAGGTAATAATCAATAAAGTCCCGAGGGCTTGCAACATTCAGTGATTCCTGATGCTCTTTTATTTTCTCCAAGAAGTAACTTTTGAGATAATCAATATTTTTTATTATCTTGTGATGACTTCCTGGACAATAGTCAATTAGTAAAGGGAAATTATTGCAGACCTACAAAATTAAAAAATAAATTTCTTGTTAAGATGTATTGTTTTGCTTTTAATCATGTGTGTGGTGTGTGTATTCATGCATATATGTGTGTGCCATCTATGTGCCATCTCCCCTGTCCTTGGGACCACAGTAATCTGTCTGCACAGCCCTGGGTTGTTCACTCCTTTCATGCCCTCTGAGTTGGCTCTTGCACACCCACATCATCAGGGCCAAATGTACTGTGTTACCTAGGGAAGGTGTTGGGGCCACTCTCCCAAGAGCTGAGGCTGGTGAAGGGCAGAAACAACTCTCCCACTGTTATAACCTCAGGACCAGCCTTCCCAACTGCCACAGGCTGCAAGGAAGGAGAGGAAATCTCTCCTCCACCAATACCACCATAAGACAGATGAGGGGAGGGGCCGGATCTCCCA